ATAGCTTTAGCGGCCACGAACGCATACGAATACGACAATGTAACGGCACGAAAGCTGGCGCTGGCGAAATATACGAGCGACTCGTGTGCATGGTCTCCCCCGTACACTCGCGCTTGCATGCTAAGAGCATACTACGCCAAGTCGGGCTCGTGCCACGAGCCCGTAAGGGTGTTTCGCTTTTACGCGAAAGTCGGTACCGTACCCACGCGCCTTAACCCGTATACGAGCGAGAATCGCGTTAGCAAGCCGCTTACCGGCAACTCGTGTTGCATTTGCGAGGCAAGGCGAGGTAAGACGAGGCAAGGTAAGGCGGCTCAGCGTCGACGATAAATACGGGTTCGCCGAGCGGCTCCCCGGTGGTCGGGGCGGTATTGAATTTTGCTCGTAGCAACATACGTTCGCGGTTTCGCGGCGGCATCGATACACACGCGCGGCGGTTTTGATCGGGCCAATGACGAGTTATTGGAATATGCACACGGGAATATCGCATTCTCTCGTCTCCCGCCCGATTTGCGTAATTAAATCCGCGCTCGCGCGCGCGCGCCGAAAATATTGTAAGTTGCTCCTCCGCCGTTAGAATATTAATTTAACGCTCTGCCCTAAATTGTCCCCCTCCGTTTCCCAACAACGCTTCGACAACGGACGATCCCGTAAAAGCTGATTTCCGCGCGCGGGGGAGAGCGCTGATTAGCGTCTTGTTTCTGGCGTCGACGGATCGCGCGTTCAGGTCCTAGATTGCGCAACGACGTAATGAGAATGGCGGAGATTCATGGAAGCGATATTAGAAGGACTCCCTGCGCGTGTGAAGATCGTAAGGACGTTAAGGCGCTGAGAAAGAAAAAAATGGCGACATGCTAACACCGTCATGGGCGCGATAATGCCCGCTTAGGAATGATTACGCCGACGACCTAGCACGGGACATGTATACGCGGGCCGTATGTGTGTAAGACACTCGAGTGCACTGAAATGCACATGATATTAAATTTCGCGTAGTTACACGCGTCGTAAAAACTAGAGCACGACCTCGCTGTGATACAAATGAAGGAAGGGTTGCGTGAAATTAAATAAAAACCGTTTAAAAAAAAACAACGTTCCGCGCAATTTGCCCGTCGCAGAAGGCACCGTGCGGTAAACTCGTAAATAATTAAATTGAGATTCGTACTGATTAAATACGCGTAGTTGGACGTGGCATGAAAAGTGGATCGCGGCCTCACTATTGTAAACGAAGGAAATTTCGCTGGGAAATTCTGAAAAACTATTTGAATAAACAATATCCCGAGTGTTTGCTCGTTGCAGGAGGGCTCCGCGCGTTAAGCTCGCAAATAATAACATTGGATATTCGTAACGATTAATTCGGTGGCGATAAATGTCCATGACGAATTAAAAAGAATAACTCTGATAAAGCAGTTGTTACATTGTAAGCAATAAATTTTACTTTCGGTACATTTGGATTAATATTTTCCATGACATTTGTCGCGGTGTGGCTGCGAATCGAGTGGCGGGAGTGCGACCGCCAGTTTCCGACAATATTGTCATCGGAATGAGTTTCGATCGGGGAAGAGGGGACATGCATTTTAACGACTTTTGATATTGAATCTACGTCCAAAGCAATAAATATTCCGCTTGTTCATTACTCGGCAATATTTTGCGTGAATAAATGATTAACGTATATGGGAAATCCAATTCTTCTTCAATTTACATTTAACATCGATTTGCTTTGAAAAGCCGATTGAGACATGGCGCTCGCCGTTACGTCCATCTTCACTTGATTCCCGTTTTCATTAAGAGCTATGTATTAATTTCGCTGATAGTGGTGCAGCCGTTGGATCGAGTTATCCTGCGCTCGGTTATAGCACGATCCGGCGAAACAATTCGCTTATCAGGAGACGGCAACCGGAGGGATTGGTAGACCGTCGTCGTCGGTGCCGGTCCGCGTCGCGCGTCACGACGAATCTATTCGGTTGTTACAGCTGTCGAAACTATGAAATTCAATGCGGCGAATTTGCATGCTAATCCGCGCGGCATAAACCCGGCATCCGTGTACCTTGCATCCGGATGTGTCTAAGTTGTAATTCAATAAAGACGGCAGTGCCGCCGGTTGTAACGCTGTGACTCGGTTAACTCGCGTTGCTAACGACTTTAACAACGCACACACGATCAATCTCCGGACGCGCGGGCGCCCGTGCGCGTGTGCGTGCGTGCGTGCGTGCCTCCCACCCCGCTTGTGCGCGTGACGAAAATTTTCAGCTAGTAATGTTAGGCACTTGGAAACTATGCTGGAAATTGTTCCACTGCTACGGCACCCGCCGCTCGGATGAGCGGATGAAATCTCCTTGTCTAATGGCCCCGAAGAACAACGAGCGTTTTCAGCGCTATAAACTGCGAACGTAACGATCCGTGATGTTGGAGCGATGATTTACGCACGGACACCATTGTCGCAACTTATACCGTTGCAAAATCAAAATTATGGCGAGGAACGGTTCGATAATATCGCGACCGATAATTGAGCCGTTTCAATATCGATATCTTGACGGCGTAATTTCGAGATAAATTAAAGCCGGAAATTTTAATGCAAAATGTTGGAATTCTAGTCATAGAATTCTAGTTACAGAATTAGACTTTCAAAATCGTAGAAACAATTATATTTAAATCTATATCAATCTATTCTTTCTTGATGATTTTCGCAGGTGACATTAATCTTTATCGTTTATATAATTTTCTCTTTCAGTTTCCCACGTGTTACCGTTGCAAACTCGAAATTATTGTGAGAATACAGTTCGATAGTATCGCGGCCGATAATTGAGCCGTTTGAATATCGATATCTTGACGGTATAATTGCGAGACAATTAAAGCCGAAAATTTTTATGTCGGAATTCTAGTTATCGAATTACAGACTTACAAAAGCGTAGAAACAATTATGTTTAAATGTATATCAATCTATTATTTCTTGGTGATTTTCGCAGGCGATATTAATCTTTATCGTTTAACTAATTTTCTCTTTTAGTTTTCCACGTGTAGCACGCTCTAGCGGTTGATACGGGCAAGTTAATTGTTAATAATAAAATTTAATTGTAAATTCTTGAATCCTCCCGTCGACGCCGTTAAAATATTACACGGCGTTTGCGAAGCGCTGCGTATAAACGGGATAAATAGATAAATAGGTGTTTCATTTGTACGTAAATTCGTATGATTGCACGATATAATTAAAGTCATACGCTATGAGCAAAGTTTCGTTGCGCTCCCGTGTGGCCTCGTGGAACGCTTGATCGATAGTCGCGTCGTCGTCCAAGTCGAATTTCTCACGCGGGAATCGCGCGCCCGCCGACGTGCGCTCTGGAAACGAGGCAACGATCGCGATGATTCATCTATCACGCTACGCTCGCATTATAACTCCTGTATGGCACGATAAAGCTCATCCCGGTAGTCCGCCTTATGGCATACGGACAGAATTCCATTTAACGTTAAAGGTCTGGCCGAGGGAAAACATTGCCGCGGCGCGCGCGGAGAAGCGAGATAGTCGGGCTGAATTATATGCTTTCCGCCACGGCAACGCGGGGCTCGAGCGATAAGCAATTGCAAGAATTATAATAGCACCTAATAAATAAATTTAGATAACGCGCAATACTTCGTCGCGCGTACCGCGATGTATCCGAGGAGGGTCCATTGGCTATCTCCGAAAACTGGAGATCGTATTTTTCCTTTCGCGAGGCGCATTCGTGGGCTAATAAATGAATTCGCGCGCGCGAGCGCGCGCGTCGCGATATTTCAGGGCCGATACCGCCGTGCAACGCGACCGTCGTATCGCAAAAAAAAGTTTTACGCAAATTAATTCTGCATGCGAGATACTTCTTAAATATATACTGTATATACACGAATTATATTTAATTTAAGAGCACGCTTCTCGCATAATGTAACCGATAAGAGGCTATAAATTATACAAATATCTTATTGTTATCTGAATTCATACCGTATATGGTAAAATTAGATTTCCAACTATTACAAGCTTGAATTTCAATGAAAATAGGAAAGGACGTCGAATTTGTTCCCGTATACTCTGTGCAAAGCTACACAGAGAGATTTTTCTCGTAAAATTTACCCTGAAAATCATGTAATCGTGGGACAACATGGCATTTTAAAGAACTTTATGAGAGTTTTTGTGAAATTTTTCCACACATTCTACTAACAAAACGTATATGTAAGTATAATTACTTGTAAAATGTATGATAAAAATTCAAGAAGCTCTCATCAAAATTCTTCGAAATGCCACGTTGCCTCACGATTACATGATTTTCAGGACAAATTAAAAAAACTGCTCTCTGTGTAAGGATTTAATTCTTATCTTCTAGATAATTGCGAGAAACGTTTATTGAAAGTTTAACACTCGATTTTTACGTGCGACTTCGCTAACATTCTTACCGGTTTTTTTGCATCATCAGCGTTTCGAAGTTTCGATACGGTTTACCGCGAGCTAAATTATTTCGGATTTTTATCACCGGGATATAAACCTCTCCGCGAAGACGACGACGTCCGCGCGTGCAGGAGGAGGATCAGCCTGGCCGTGGGGTATCAACCTCACGCAACTTGCTCCAGGAAATTCGAGATAGGATGACAGTAAAACGGCAATAAAATGTCTTTGAAATAAAAGCCAGGGGATACGCGTTCGGTGGCGGTTTACGAGTGAACGCGGGCGTATCGGAGACGCGTTCTCGTCACCAGCTACCTCGCCGTTCGGCCAATGTAATTTCCGAAGGCTTTGATCTTCGATTTTTCCGATGAGAGTCACTGCGCGAGAGTTGACTCTGCCGCTGTTCGCCTTTTGTGCACACATGCCAGCTAGCACCGCGAGTAATTTCGATCGCGTGTTCGGTCCATTATGGATAGTGTTGGCCGAGCGAGAGAGAGAGAGAGAGAGAGAGAGAGAGAGAGAGAGAGAGAGAGAGAGGATGCGTTCCGCGAGAAATGTTCCATTGAAGCCTGCTCTTATGATAGGAAGAAGTGATGCTCTTCCGCAATCTCATACGATTCGCGACGAGGAAATTTTTCGAGTAATTCGTTCATGTATCTTTCAAGAGATACTTTGTTTTCCGATCACGATTTCGATTAGGTACGGCAACACACTTCTCTCTCTAGAATTTGGATGCGATTTAAACTAAGAAGGTCGAATGGTAACGGCGACGGTATATAAGAAACGTACATAAAGGCTTTAGTTATGACGAGTGCTTGTTGTGAAATAAAACTGCCGGTTTGAGGCAGTCTTGATCCAACGTTCGTCGTGGAAAATAGAAGGTATCCTGTGCTCTAGTATTACAGATAGATCTTATTGCGAACCAATCTTCAAATTTCTTATACGTTTCTCTTTTCAAGAAGTTATTCTGCATTTTCAAATATTGGCCATTATATATCAGACATCGAACGAGTTTGTAAAATTGGTGCCGTAAACTTGTGAGAATTTAACCACATCTAACATTTGTTCGCTAATGATATAAAGCCTCAAGATGGGTAAAAGACGTTATAGTAGAGGAGACAAAAAAACTAATATGAAAAACGAGGAGGCTAGTGCAGGTAAGATACAATAAAAAGTAAAATATATAGTTGTTTGTTCCAAATAAATGTTTATAGCACGCGAAAATTCAACATGAAAGTTTATCTATAAAATATTTCTATGTTAGAGAATTTTTATACTAAATTGAAAAATAAGATTACATATTTTTACTTGGCATTGCGTAATAAGTAATTATAACTAATTATTTAAATATTACAGTAGCAAATTATATGAATATTTTGTTCAAAAATTAATTATAATTTATCTGTAAGATATCAGAAAAGTTATACTATTATTATTACTTTAAAAACGTTAATTCTTATTATTAGTGGCAATACGATATTTCTCGATGACTTTCAAAAATGATATTTAATTATTTCACGAAAGAAAAATGTCACTTATAGGCGTTAGTGATGATTAAAAATTAAAACAGTGAGCTTATTGTCAACCCAACTGGCAATTTTTAATGAATTCGTTACAACGTTTTAACCTTACTTCAGGTCTTTTTCAAGTAACAATACAAATAAGAAAACAAGAAAAATTTATAGACAAGCAAGTCATCGTCATCCGTGAGATAGAATCAAAAGATAAAAATAAGCTAAAAATAAGCGCACATCCGAACATTACTGAGATTCGATTTGAACATTTATTGTTCAAATAATTTATCTGTAAGATATTGTAATTAATTTTTTATCTGTAAAATATCAGAAAAGTTATACTAGTAATATTATCTTAACAACGCTAGTTAATTTTGACAACGCTAATTCGAACAATTATTCAAATCGAACCTCAGTAATGTTCGGATGTGCGCTTATTTTTAGCTTATTTTTGTCCTTTGACTCGATCTCACGGATGACGATGACTTACTTGTCTATAAATTTTTCTTGTTTTCTTATTTGTATTGTTACTTGAAAAGGACCTGAAGTATGATCGAAACGTTGTAACAAATTCAATATAATTTGTCAGTTGGGTTGACAATAAGCTCACTGTTTTAATTATTTTATATCTTATATTATACTTGCGTTTACGTATATCAGTATCTCGTCAATTTTAAAATGCAACAATTTTTACATCGCAATAAGAAATACATATATGTGTATTTTTGAACATATAAATTTTTATTCCGTATTTTTTCTAAAATATATCGGCTTTCACATACAGACAACAAGAATGATTTTTAGTCACCTAAATACCATATATTTATAATTCAACGAATTATAATTCAACGTAATTAATTTTAATTAAAAGGAAAATTGTAGCATATTGATTACATATTTAATTTTTCTAAAAGTTTAATAGAAAACATGAATTAAGTAACATATTTAAAAATTGAAATTTATTTTATAATAAAATTAATTTTATATTATACACTATGTAATACAGCATTCGTTATATTATCATTTTATATATTGTCTTTTTATTATATAAAACAAAAAGAAAATATTTTACATAATGCAGTATTCACAAAATTGAACAAAATATTCTTTTTTACATGAAAGTATTGATCTTTAATAACGTTTAATTTATTATTAAAGCTTATTAAATATCACTTTAAATAATCAATATACTACATGTATTAAATGTGATACCGCTTTGGCAGTATTTTTAATATTAAATTATTATGTCACTGCAATGTGTGCATAGTTTGTATTGGTGAAAGATTTTAAAGTCCTTCAGCTTTTGTGGCAATAAGTTTTTGCGAAAATAATTTTTCGTAAGAATAATAAAATTCGAGTCGTCGTCCTATCGATCGCGCGAGTACCGCAATTACGTTCGCGACGGCAACAATCGCAAGTAGAGGGGTCAGACCACGCGAAAAGACCAAGTCCAATTCCAAGTTATTATTAATTCTAATCCATCCATTTTTACGCCATGGATCTATTAAAATTCATGTCTATTTGCAAAACTAAATGTTCCTAAATTCCAACGTGAATTTTACATAAGATAGATCTAACGCAATTTTTATATAGATCCATTGCGTCTGTTTAAAATAAAAGATTATTTATCACTCACCGAAACGATGCGTGACAGCGGAGTCTGCGTCGTCAACTGTAAAATACAAATTTATGATTAGAATAATCATTTACAATTGAAATTATTGCATTAGATATTTTATATTTCCTTTAAATGAACGCGTAATAAAATAATTATAGAGTACTCAGAGAAAATCTTCCTTTTAAATATAAACTCGCAAAATAGTAATATCACATTTTTGTCTGTAACTCTTATTCGGATCGTTTGAATAAATTGAGACTAACAAGGTGCAAATAGTTAATTTTGCAAGTAGCAAATATTATATAAAATATGAAACTTACCTCATGGTTGCTCCGCCGTTGTCCGATGCCTCCCAGACCTGCTCGTCCTCTCAGATCGCCTTCTTGCACTTACACAATATTCACTCGCGAGAACGATTCACTACGATCGCGCGAACTTTCGTGCGACACTCCCGTACGCGACGTGAAATACTGCGAAACGCACCAAGTATCGTTAACATACGTACGTCGTATGAGTCCGGCACGCAAATCGTTCAAACCGCAAACACGCAACTCACACGTCATTTTGCACTTTTGACTCGAAAATAGCAATCGATGAATCAATTTTAAATTAGCGATATAAAACGCGACGTGAGTATCGAAATCCAAGCGTCTGCGATAAAGAAGTAATTAGTAATCCGCAACGAAACGATATTTTAAGATCTTGAGTCCGTCAATGAATTTAATCCTTATGTGATATTATAAATTGTACGAGCGAAACATCCACTGCGATAAATAGTTGTTATTAACCGTAACAGTTAACTGACAAAGAGATAATTTTCGATTACATTTCGAGATATACGTAACGACGCGCATAAAGCGACTTTCTCTGCTTCCTGCCTCAACGAGCTGCGAATTACGACGGAACGAATTAGCAAGCAACGCAAACACCAACGCCGCGTACCAACAAATTTCTATCTCTTTTACCGAAAATGGAAAACAGATTGCACTAAAATCGACAGGTAATTCACAGCGCGATGCGTAAACGAGATGCAATCACGACAAGGTACCACACGATTCACATTGATATTTTAGATGAGTTAATTGTCTCGTAAAATATTTCCGTTTATAAAATCTGTCGCCTCACATGCAAATGTTTCTCGTTTCGATTCTCGTTGCAAGTTGTACTATCTTGTACTTGTAATAATTTATCGACGAACGTTATTTGTTACCGATAAACGCGTACAAATGAAGACAATTTCGTTCTCGCGCCCATCGCGATCGCGTCTCGGAAACTGATAACGCAAAAGTAATACGACGCAGGGAGTGACTCCCGACGCGGCCAGCTCGAGGCTCGGCGAGCGAATGATAGCGCAGCGACCTTCACCTTTGCGTACGCCGTACACAATGGCACGCAGAGCGTCGCACGTTACCGCGCGGCGAGAAAAACAAAAACGAACGTTGAGGGTTCGTTTTTGTTTTTCTTGTTGTCTCGCCTACGAAATGGAAAATTCTATACCTAATGTTTCAAATTACTTTGTTCAACGACTGTTACTATACGAGTACACTTATCATTCTTATATCTTTCTGAAAGGAAATTTGTTCAAACGGTGTTTCAAATCCTAAATCGTGATATCAAGACCGAACAGAATGCACCTTTTTCTACACTCCATAAAATCAATCGCCTAAAAACTCTCCTTCATACCCAACTCGCTTTCAATAGACCGCGCCTACGAAACAAGTTGAAAATTTTATACATGATATTTTAAATTATCCTGTTCAGTGGCTGTTACTGTACATTGCGCGTATCATTTTGCGAACTTATTGGTATTGTTTCAGATAACGACTCCATCCAGTCGAGAAAATGTTTCGAAACGAAAATCGTTGTTACGTAAATTTTATAAATTACCGAGATATTTTACCACAATTTAGTTAGTGCGTACAAAATGTATATTATTTAATTGCAAATCTTAATTTATAGACGAATTCTTTGCTTTAATAATAATACACAGAGAGAATTTTTTTAAATATTCACCCTAAAAATCATGTAATTGTGGGCAACGTGACATTTTGAAGAACTTTGTAAATTTTTTTACATTTTATCATACAATTTTATTTTACTAGTAAAATGAATGATAAAATTTCAAATATAAATTAAAATAAAATTCTTCGAAATACCGCGTTGTCTCACGATTACATGATTTTTAGGATAAATTTTAAGAGAAAATTCTCTCCGTGTATAAATTGGTATCGCACTGCCAGCAAAATTCGACCGCCAATCACATACGCGGAAAAATGCAACAATATGTGCGATACATACGTGCGCTTCTCGGTACAAATAACTTTTTTTCATTAGGAAATGGAATGTAATGGAAAATATAAATTTAAATCTTATAATAGCTTATATAATTAATATGCTAGCCACTACCACCTAAATTAGAAAAATTTCCACACTAACTTTAGTAGTACTATATTCTTATTCAATATATGTTTAAAATTACGAGTGCATAGTATGTGTTTAAGAGGTCAATGAGTAGTTTTAAATAATAAATTACATATATGCATGTCACACACACATAAAAAACGACATTAAGAACGCAACACGATATGTAATCTTCATAAAATTACGAAATTGCTTCATCTTATTGTCAAACTAAAATAAACTAAAGTGTAATAGATATATTTTTACCCACTTATCTAACGAATATTAAAGACAATATTCTGATGCCTGTTATGATTTGATGCATGTAAGAATTATTAAGTACATCGATTGTTTACAGATGCGACTACAGATGCGACTACAAATGCGACTACAGAGTCGACTACAGATTCGAAAACGACTGGAAAAACACAGGCAAATACCATCTATCATCACTGTCGAACGAAGTGTCACATAAAAACAATTAATTTTATATGGACTATTGATCACTTTTGGAACATAAACTCTTTTATTAACACTATGCTATCTTGTGAAATTGAAGAACTGTCCATGATGATTAAGATGCATGTTACTACAGAAGACATGAAAGAACAAGCAGTGGTACGCTTTTATGCTGTACCTGTTACAGATGGCACTAAAATTAATATTCAAAGATATCATGCTTGTATCGGAAATATAGAGGGAGTAATGAATACAGGCTGGAAATTATTTTCGCAAACCGACGTGTTATTTGAAGTCTTTCTGGAAACTCTTAACTTATATAAGTCAAGATTTGTAACCGATAACTCACTTTCGATACAATTTATATTTGAATCATTCGATCGAGTATCAGATAGCAACGTTACATTCGAGAAATTAGAAACGAGACCGAAGTTAAATATAAGAGAAATGATAAAAGCTTCCATGCTCGATGAGAAATCTAATCCAATCATTACATTTAAAATAGATGAGCACAAATTTAATGTAAAGAAATTAATATTAGAACGTGCAAACAGCACGTTCTTTAATAATGAAATAAAACAGATTAGTACAAAAGAATGTGCGAACAAAGAAATAGAAATATCTACTGTACCCCATAGTATTTTTCAGCAAGTAATATCTTATTTAGAATCTAACAATCCGTACTATTTAGACTCTCTTATATTTAACATGGATAAAGCTAAAGTTAAGGAATTAGTCATTTCGCTCCTGGAAGCCGCTGATCGTTTAGATATAAAAGATCTTAAAGAATGGTGTGAAAAATCTTTAGTAGAATATCTCGAAAAAAATAATGTTCTAGAATATTTAGTTATTGCAAAAACACACAATGCGGAAGATTTGGGGAGTTATGCAAGAAAATTAAGCAAATTACATTTAGACGATATTAAAAATACTCCGGAATTCCAAACACTAAGTAAAAATAATCCTGAGAATTTGCATGAAATTTTAACACAGGAATTAGATGAAAACACTGCTTTGTAATGTAATGTATAAAAACAGATTTTTATTAACAAATAACTGATGTGACATTTATATAAATAAATTTTGCTATTCTTCGATCTTCTTAGAATCTTTATATATTTATTGTAAAAAATTTTGTAAAATATTGTAAAAGGATTATCAATGTAACGTAATACCAAATTATACACTTTTAAATGTACTGTATCTGTCAAATTTAATATACCTTCGATTGTTTTATTGCTTCTTCTCATTTCCTTTTTATAATACTAGAAATGACAAAACGCGCGCTTCGCGCGCGCAGTTAGTAGTTAGACATTGTATATTTTTAAGAATTTGTATACATGCAAAGAAGTTATTGTATGTGCAACGTCAATTAAAAATAAAAAGTAATTTATCACTCACTGATACGATTCGCAAGAGCAGAGTTGTATTATACATCATTAACTGTATATGGTAAACTGTAAAAATAGAAATATGTATATGATTATTACAGAGTAATTATGTGAAATCTAAATTATTGCATTAAATATACAAATCTTTCAGGAAAAATATATTTAAAAGTCTGGGACAATTTAGAATTCCTCAGTATATACCAAATAAAGTATGCTGTGTGGGATACGTTCAAAATTAATTTTTAATAACATTTAATAAATTCCATCTTAACTCAGAGAGCCGAGAAGCGACCACTTCGATCTTACAATTAGCTCAGAGAGCCAAGATGTGACCTATTCCATCTTAGCTCAGAGAGCCGAGAAGCGACTAATTCCATCTTAGCTCAGAGAGCCGAGAAGCGATTACTTCGATCTTAGCTCAGAGAGCCGAGATGCGATTACTTCAATCTTAGCTCAGAGAGCCGAGAAGCGACATATTCCATCTTAGCTCAGAGAGCCGAGAAGCGA